AGACAACCTCTCGTCAATATGCGTTTTTCGCATTGCATTGCTGCAAAAAACGCATAATAAAAACACCAATGGAGCCTTGGGGATTTTGGGGAGTTTATACAGGGTTAGTGTAAAGCGGGAGGGAAGAGCCTGGAAGGATTTGAAATGGCTGGAGTGCAAGCATGGGCACATGTAGATACACACACATACGCCCACACACACACACACACACGCACACACACATACACACACACGCACACATACACACAAATACACACACAAACACACACACACACACACACAAAGGGTCGTGCCTAGAACAGAATTTGCATGAAAACTTATGTTCAGAAATCAGTATATTACTGTGTCATCATCGTATAATGCTTTCGTCGCCCCGTTCACAGAACCCACTTACTGCCATATTCCCAGTCAAGAGAAAACCTCCAAATCACGGACAACAGTACGCACTGCGGTGCAGTGCTGGCATTCTTTTGACGTAATCACATACAGATGGTTGTGCGCAGTGGCAGTTCGTATGGAGATGCGACTGGGAATATCCGCCTAGACTCATGCATCTGGTTGTTTTCGAAGCACAGGTGGGAACTTCGGATTTGTGATGAACATCTCGAGCCCACAAAGGAATCCCATAACAGTTTCGAATTTGTGACCTTATAAGTCGCACACTACAAGACCAAGGGGCCGCTGCACTTGCTTCCGTAGCAAGGAGATTCTGGCTCGCACATACATGCGCACATGCACATACACCTAAGTACACAGATACATGTACACACACTGCCTTAATGCTTTTGGGGTTCTCGTGAAAACGCGTAGAAATGGCAGCTCGTCAGATAAATGACTAATTTTTTATTTTCAAAACAAATGATACTTGATGTAGAGTGATGAATAACAAAATCGACAAAATATTTCAACATGAACGAGAAAAACTGCTAAGGAGTAGTAATTTGAAACATGAAAGGATGAACTGAAGTAAAAAAGAACGGATAAATGATATAACATGCACAACGAACAACAAACAGACAGGGACAAACAGGCAGAGACACACAAACACTGACACGCTCATAAATTCATACACATACAAATTAATTGCCAAAAACACAGATTTAACACTCAGAGGCTCCCCGATAAGTATATGAGACTTCCCGCTAGTTTTCACTAAGCCATAAGAATATCAATGGTCGGTCCAGCTGCTCAAACCAAATATTTTTTTGACTGTGGCGTATGATCAAAAAGGATAATTAGAGGCACCAACTACCCTTTCGCACGTTTAATAAAACTGTCGCAAAAGCAGCAAAATTCATGCGCAATACAATTTATATAAATCTTGGGACGCAGCCAGTGAATGAACCTGTCATTCAGACAGAACAGATGCCCTTGTGTTCGTAACGCCAACTGCGACAATGTGATCCAAATAAAAACGCAGGAGTAAAATGAACTTAACAGAAGCAACATAAAACATAACTTCACAATATCTCCAAACATCAATTGATTTGCCAGAAGAAGGAAAATGATCATCAAAAAGCAGTTAAAAGCTGCAATATTTCAGCAACTAATAAAACCACTGCTGCCAGCTTCCTGACCATTCATTCTCTAAAAAAAAATAAATGATGTGTTATACTGATAACCCAGAGTCTGCCGATATGAAAAACTGTTCTTTTAGCATCCCTGCAAAATAAGAACAGCCACAGTTGACCGAAAGTTCCAGCATTCCGTTTTTGTATGCTCCAGGAGAAATGAAAAACCAAAAACCAAATTTTATTTCATTTCCGCCAGGACAACCTTAAAAAAAGTACAGAAACAAAAAGCATTCTACACAACGTCGGAATTTCGTATCACGCTATTTCGCTGAAATTTTTTAAAGCTACACAGAGATTTACCTGCTCAGACTTCGGCTCAAGCTTCGTCGCTCATCATATCGCGGAGATTTACGTGGAGGTGGCGTTATTGAGCGGGTACGCGATCTTCGATAATATGGCGACCTTCAAAACACCGGCTCTAATAAAAATCAGTGACTTACAAGACAACCAACAAAGCCTAACGATAATTCTACGGGCACTGATTACTAGAACCTGGAATGAAAAGCTGAACAGTCTGAAAACACTATCCAAAGCTACCATTTAAAACTAGAGCAAGAATAAACTAATTTTAAACATTTTTATGGGTACCTAATGCCCGCCCGGTTTGGTTTTTGCCGATTCCTAAAAGGCACCACTCTAGCCTCAATAAAAATCTGGAAAGACAGATTTCCTGAGCAATTCAGACGTACCTTTTATAATTTTTTACTCATTTTCCAACATCGCTCCGATTATCACAGAACAGGCCAAAGGATCTGCATCAGTGGCATAATCAGTAAAGGATGAAGAGTGCGCCTTTACCTCCGTGCACTGATCAATTCGAATTTTGAAACTTATTCTTGTAAGGTAGAGGGAAGCGAGCCAAACCCTTGCTAAACAGCAGGAAACCCAGGTAAAAGAAAATCGGTTGCGAAAAATGCTTAGGCGCGACAAAAAAAAGTCGCGAAAATACTACGTTTAGCGCTAAAAGTATCTGGGGAATGCGACCAAAACAGAGAAGGGAAGGAGATAGGCCAGTTTTGACCAAAGTGCCAGGTCAGAGCTATGACCGATGTACGCCACTGCTACATGATAAAAACGCAAATTTTGCGCTAATGCTTATGAGCGTTCCGGTATTTCTTTATATTTTCTTGGAAATTGGAATATTTCTTACCATCCAACAACAGTGCCGAATGTGGATGTTGTTAAATGATGATGATGGTGATGATGCTCTTCGTATTTTATACACAATACGAAGAGCGAAGGATTCTTGTTCAAATCACGGAGATTTAGCATTTTTCAACTCAAACAGAGCAAAATTTGACGAAACTTCATGCTGAGTTGATCGTTCCCCGCCCCTTCCCTTCCACAGCTGTCTTTCGTGAGCGATCGGCGGGATGGGTGACGTCGTGACGCTGAAGCAGAAATTTTTGAGCTTAAGCGTCCAATCATAGTCGAGGCTCAGAGGCGGAAATTTTATATTTTTAGCTGAACGGTGTTGCTGTGAAGAAAGAAGAGCTGCAGAAGCCGTAATGTTCTTATGCAGAAGCTCTGATGTAGCTGTACTGATGGTGCTGGTTGTGACAGTAATAGTAGTAGTAATAGTAGTTGCAAAGCGAATGGAGTGGATGCTGATGATGGATGTTGAGACGGATGTAATAATGGTGGTAGCCGCACTGATGGGCTAAAATTAACTAACTTTTTCAACAATATGCAAATTCCTCACTCAAAAATTCCTTACTCTCCTCACTCTGCTTTCAAGCATCAAGTTCACTTCAACAATACTCATACAAAATCAAACTATGTATGATCACAACTCATCGCAAATTCAACTGCAGTAGCTTGCAGCAAACAACTTTTACCAGTAGCGCACCCTATCCTAAGCAAAGACTGAACGCATGAAAATGCGATACCTTCCACTGGAACGGTGCATCTCCCCAGCCCTGCTCCACTAGTTCTCCACACGCTTCTTTGCTAATATTTAGTACTTTCGGAACAAATTTTCTGCTTCCAAACTAGTTTAACTCTCTCACCACCCCGATGAAATTTTGTGCCAATTCGGCAAAAAGAAATGGGAAGGGACTGACAATTCTTCTCCGCTGGCCCGACATAGGCTCCAGAAAACCGAAAAGGATACCATGCAAAAGAAAGGCTTGTCAGTAACAGCAAAACCTGACAACACAACTTAAGATTTCGACTATCCACAGGCGGTGAATGGCTAACAAATGTTCGATACGAATCGACAAGCACCTCCAGTCCCAAGCAGTGCCCAATCACAGAGATGTTCTGATCATACACAGCAACAAAACTCACTTTCTTCACAAAAAACAAAACGATTGAGCCCTTATTTCAACACAGAAAAAAAAAAAAAAAA